TGTTTCCATGATTTTTTTTACTTCGTGTCATGTTCTGTATAAACAGGAATATTTAGAGGGTGTTTCCTGCTTAGCGTTTTTTTGCACTTAAGTCATCTGTTACCCCCTAACTCTACTGCTTTCCACATATTGGTCCCTTGATACATTTCATATGGCTTTAGCCCAGAGTTCTCCTTTCCAGCCCATCTTTCCTCCTCACTAATACATACAGTGAACACTTAGATAGTTCTTACTATGTGCTGAGCACTATTTTAACCATGTTACCTATATTAGTTAATTTAATCCTCCCAATAACTCTACAATGTACATACTATTATTATCTCTATTTTAAAGATAAAAAAAATCTGAAGCACAGAGAGGTTAAGTGACTTAAAGGTAACAAAGTTTGTAAATCATGGAGCTAAGATTTGAACCCAAGTCAAGAAGAGCATAATGTGAATATTTCAGGAGAAACATGCCTCAAATGGTGACTAGTCCTTTCCCTAACTCTAATTCACCTGCAGTTTAGGGATGTAAACAAATGTGCTCCTATATTAGGAGTAAGACAAATTACAGATACCATACATTAGTTGTCTTACTTCCCAAGATGATAGCATTGCAAACTTCTCTGCTATGCCTTTTGAAAATGTGCTTAGAGCTGGTTGCATTTTCTCAGGAAGCCTAAGGGTTAGAGCTAGTAGAGGATATTTTCAGTGTGCCACAGAGGGGAGGAATTTATTTGTTCTTTTTACAGGGCAGGGAAAACTAATTCAATTTCTTTCTGCAGAAAGTAGAACTGAGACTATTTTTGGAACTTGAGATTGGTTGCAGCTATTAACATTCAAACTCATTGATTATATTGGCTGCATTCTTCTGATTCAAATGTAAGCAATTCACTGATGACCACTGGTCAGTATAACACCTTGCCCGTTCCTGTCACCTGCTTCACATTGACAGTCTTTACCCTGCCATTATTTCAAAGCCAGAAGGACCCTTGAAGAACATCTAGTCCAACACCAGTGTTTTGCTGGTGGAAAGAAAGATGCACAAAGAGGGAAAATAACCTGTCCAAAGTCACACAGTTCTGAGGTTGAGTGGAACTACGACTTTGTTTCAGAGTTTCTAATTTCCAGATGTCTTAGGCTGGGTTTCCTAGAAAATAGATTTTGAAGAAAAAAATTATGTGTAATCACAGAGACATAATGAGAAAAGAAAAAGGGCAGTGAGGTTAGGGAGAGAAGAAAAGCAAACATAAAGGAGTGTGTTACTGAGCTGGCCACAATCAGTTTAGTGACAAGTTAATTGCTGTCTCTTATGGCATGACATGAACCTACTGCGTTTTTGTACAGCCCATCTGAGGGAGGAAGGGAGAAGAAGTCATCTGCTAGCTTCCATCTCATTACTTAAGTACCTTCTCCATGGAACATCAAGTCAACTCCCTTGCATTTCTGGGCAGTGCACGTGCAGGTGTCCAAGCGTGTACCTTGGCATCTCATGCCTCGGCAGCAATGAGGAAGCATTGTAGCTTACTACCAACAGACAGCAAGGCAAGTGTGTGGATATAGGAAGATGTAGAAACAAATTGATATACCAGGCTGGTACTTTTCTTTCACGCTTTAAATCATATTCATTCAAAGTGAATTAGAGATAATCTACTATCTTTAAAATATATAACACTTTGTTGCAGGACTCAGAAATCTACCAAATCTGCTTTCCTGCATGTATTTATTCTGAGACCACCTTTGAAGGGTTTCTTTCTACATGAAAATTAAGTTCCTAGTGCAATTAGTTTTTTTTTTTTTTTTT